TTTTTTTTTTTTTTTTTTTTTTTTTTTTTTTTTTTTTTTTTTTTTTTTGCTGATTTATGATTAGTGTTTTAACTCCTTATTACAAAGAAGACGTCCTTTATTCCGATGAGGAACTTAGAAAGGAAAACGAGGATGGGATATCCATTTTGTTCTATCTCCAAAAAATTTATCCTGGTGAGCTTAATCTTCCTGCCGTTTTTACATTTAATTCCATGGACAGCAACTTACACTTGCGTTGGCTGTATACTAGATGAATGGACCAACTATCAGGAGCGAATTAGAGAACCAAAACTTGGGTATACTGAAAAGGACAGGAAGGAGTTAATACGCCAATGGGTATCCTACAGAGGGCAGACATTATCAAGAACAGGTTGAAAGAAATTTCCTCTATCTTTCTCCCTCTTTTGTGTTACAATTAATGGACCCTAACCTTAATACTTGCAACATTTATAAATCTTGATGGTTTATCAGTACGAGGTATGATGTACTACCGAGATGCGCTTCAGCTTCAGTTCTTTCTGGAATTTGCTGGGGAGAATAGTATGTTTTCTAATTCTATTTTGCTATTATCATGAGATTCAGAATCTAAGCCCGATCATGTTCCCAAACTGAGTAATTGATATACTTAATATCTAGATTTTCCTTATTTTCTTGACAGCTGGTGGTTATCGAAACATGCACTTAAATGAAAAGGATCAGAAAGCATTCTTTGATCGTGCACAAGCTCTGGTTGACTTAAAATTCACCTATGTTGTCTCATGTCAAATCTATGGTGCCCAGAAGAAGTCTGATGATGCTCGTGACCGAAGTTGCTATAGCAATATTCTCAATCTGATGTTAACGTAAGTCAGCTGTTAATATGCTGTTGCTAACCTTTACAAATTTCAAAGACTACCTAAAAGTTCCCTGATTTTATTATGGATAGAAGTAAATAAATAAAAAATATGCAGGTATCCATCTCTACGTGTTGCTTACATAGATGAAAGAGAGGAGACGGTGAATGGGAAGTCCCAGAAGTTTTATTACTCAGTTCTCGTAAAAGGAGGTGATAAATTAGATGAGGTATGGGAGAATAGCTTCTGAATTTTATACTTGCCCGCTGTTATATTAGTAGTTGCAACCATTTGCTGGTTACTTCCAATTTTGCATGCGATGTGCCACAATTATTTTAAAAATTGCATTTTCTACGTAGGATTCTGATATAGTTCTTATTTTTTCTTAAAAAAATAAATAATTGGAGCTTTAGGCTTGATTTGACCACATAACTTCTTTTACCACAAAATTTGAGGTATGGTATACTTTTATTTTAATTCTTTGAACAATTCCTAATGATAATCATGGTCATCCTTCAGCCTTTATCTGTAGGCAAGTGGTGGCATAAGTGTCTTGGTTATGTTCCTCATTGAAGAGTAGCAGCTGGAGCTAGGAGTTAATTTTTTACGGGACTTTCCCTGAATTTTGCAGTTCTAATTGCTTGCTATTTATTTAGGAAATCTATCGAATCAAGCTTCCAGGTCCTCCAACAGTAATTGGTGAAGGAAAACCTGAGAATCAAAACCATGCCATTATTTTCACTCGTGGACAAGCTCTGCAGACCATAGACATGAACCAGGTGATTTACCTTTCCGTCTTCGGTTGAAGATAGTGTATCATGACACCTTTTTACTGTGTCATTGTTCAATTTGTAGGATAATTATTATTGTAGAAAGTTGATTGTTTGCAACTTCACAAATCTCAACAAGTTCATGTTTCTCACAGGACAACTATTTTGAAGAAGCTTTCAAAATGAGAAATCTTTTGGAAGAGCTCCAAAAAACCCGTCATGCAGATCGAAAACCCACAATCTTGGGTTTGAGGGAGCATATCTTTACTGGAAGGTCAGTTAAGTTAAATCTAGTAACTGCTATCTGAGAATGTAAGTAGTCAGTTTTCAGTATAGACATTTGGTTTGACATTTAATGGTTGACGATGCTTTATACCTGTTTCCCTCCCGTATCTTCTACAGTGTTTCATCTCTTGCATGGTTCATGTCCAATCAGGAAACTAGTTTTGTAACTATTGGCCAACGAATTTTGGCAAATCCTCTAAGGTAAGTTATTGATTTATCTTTATACAATTTCAATGTATGTGCGATACTTGCAAATATATGACATTGACTACCTGCATTTAGTTAACTTTTGGATTTAATCAGTAAGCCTATCTATTAATATTTTAACTTCTTTTTTCATGGGCATTTTGTGGGTCTATGTGTGTCTTGGTGCTTTCCCATTTTCTGTTTTCCTTTCGACACTCTTTGTCATCTTGAAATTTTGAAAAATGGCTGCAAAATGGTTTCTTTAGATGCTACTAAGAAATAGGGAAGGTGTAAGCCATTTTTGGTCTAAGAGATACCTGCATGAGAACATGAACTGGTGGCAAGAAGATTTGCAATGGAAAGTAAGCTAATTGTAAGGACTATTTCCAGGGATTTAATTATGGATTGCTTTATTTCGTTCATCTACTTTTGATCTTTTCTTTAACCTTGTAGTGCCTTGCACAAAATTATACCTTAGAGTTGTATGATTGACAATAAAAGCTAATCTTCTCTTTCAATATTATTATTATTATTATTATTTTGTAATATCAGAGTTATGCAATCGTCATCAGTAATAAACTATATCATTGATATCATCTCCAACAACTAAAAAAATGAAAAGAACCTAGTCAATTTTATCCACGTTTCTATCTTGGGCAATTACTCTTAATGAATAAACTTAATTCATCATTAATTATATGGTTGCACATGGACAAATTTTGGCAAGGCCAAATCTAAGAATTTCATTGGGTACATCTTGGAGTTAGATTCATTTGGTAGATATATGTATTAGATTATTCATGTATCACTATAATGATAATACATGTATTAGGTAGATTCGCGACTTAGTATTTGGTACATGTATGACCATGGAGGATGTTCCAAATAGCCTATATAAGGACCACCTATGTAGAGATTTCAAATATTTGGTACATGTATGACCATGGAGGATGTTCCAAATAGCCTATATAAGGACCACCTATGTAGAGATTTCAAATCAACTAAGAAGAGAATACATCTCTTCCTCTAGAAAATAAAAAGACAGATTTGAGTGTTAGAGAGAATTTTGTCTCATTTTCATAAAAATTTTACATTGCTCCATCAAAGTGGTATCAGAGCCAAAAATGGTGAATTCTGGAAAGATGTCGTTGGGTGCTGTACTACTGCCATGTCTAGTGAAGTCAAACTACAATAACTAGAGTATTCAGATGTGATCCTTGCTCGGGTGCAAGATGTATGAGATGTACTTCAAGACGATTACACCGAACTAGAGAAAATTGGAAAACATGACAATAAGTGACATCAGGACGCAGAAACAAGCACGAATGAGGGACAAAACTGTTGTGCACTTATTACTCCGAGTAGTTCATGAGTCAAATTTTGAGAAGATAGCAAACGCAACAATGGCCAAATAGGCATGAGACATGTTGGCAAAAGGTCTTCAAGGGGGCTGATCGACAAAGTGTGACTCCAAACACTTTGCAGTGAATTGGAGGTGATGAAGTTGAAGGAGTTGGAAGGCATATCCGACTACATCACACGTATACAAACTGAGATGAAACAACTTAGAAGCAACGATGAAATTCTCAAGAGTCGTGGGTTGGAGAGAAAATTTTGCGGTCACTAAACGACAATTTTGAGAATGTTGTGTGCATCATCAAGGAGTTGAAGGATCTAGAAGGTCTAATTGTTGATGATCTTGCAGGATCACTAGAGGCACACGAGCCATACAAGAAGAACGAGTCGCAGTAAGAAGCTCTACAAGCCAAGGCGTCCATCAAGGACGAAAAGGTGCTTTACACGCAAAACTCTAGGACGACAACACAATTTGGTATCTTGATCCTAGAGTTTTGCGTGTAAAGCACCTTTTCGTCCTTGATGGACGCCTTGGCTTGTAGAGCTTCCTTCTGCGACTCGTTCTTCTTACACGCAAAACTCAAGGACGACAACACAATTTGGTATCTTGTGGAAATGACGGATAGTTCTTGAGCTTCCTTCTACTTCACAACATGAATTATTATTTACAAGTAGGTGGTGTGGAAGGTTCAATCAAGGATGTGTATTACTACCTAATCTCAAGAGCCATATTTTAAGCATGGGGTAGCTTATGGAGAAGGGATTCACGGTATCTATGAAAGATTGGTTGTTGCAATTGAAAGATAGTATAGGGCATTTGGTAGCACAAGTTGAAATGACCAAAAATCGCATGTACAAGCTAAATTTTTGCCTCAACAAAGTACTGTGGCCAAAGGAAAAATCGGACTATTCTTGACATGGTCTGATCAATTATGAAGAGAAAAGGAATGTCGAAGGAGTTTTGGGTGGAAGCAATATTGTGTACGGTTTATAGGCAGAATCGATGTCCTCATGAGAAGATGGGAGATCGGACACCACAAGAAGTATGGAGCAGATAAAAGCTTTAAGCTGTTTGATTTGATAGAGAAGGTGGTGTTGGTCAGTCGGGATGTGCAAGTGAATGAGTCTAATTCATGGGATTAGGAAAGATCCACTGAGGTGATAGTCGAGAAAAAAGAATCACATGCACCAACTAATACTCCACCAATTGTCAATGATGAGATGAGCCTAGACATCCAAGGATGCACACCATGCAAGACTTGTACGACTCAACAAGTGAGGTACATTTAATTTGTCTTTCGGTGGATGCTGAATTAATCACTTCTAAAGAAGCTATACGAGATGAGAAGTGACAAGCAACCATGGATGAAGAAATAAGATCCATCAAGAGAAATTGGACGTGGGAGCTGGTCGAATTACTAAAAGGAAGTTAGCCCATGGTAGAAAAGTGGGTGTACGAGAAGAAGATGAATTCTCAAGGAAGAATAGAGGTGTACGAGGCGAGTCTCATTGTAAAGTGCTATCAACATAAGACAGGGATAGACTATGCTCAAGTCGGCTTTTTTGGATGACTTGCTAAAATTATAGGTTTACGTAGAGCAACCACCGGGATATGCGAGAATTAGGGGAAAAGAGGAAGGTGTTGAAATTGAATAAGACACTTTTCGGATTAAAACAAGCACCTTGAGCTTCGAATACCCGCATCGACAGTTACTTCAAGAAGAATGGGTTTACTCAATGCACAAATGAGCATGCAATCTATGTGAAAAAGAAGAGAGGTACTCTGCTCTCTGTCGCTATTTATGTTGATGACTTCATTTTTATGGGGAATAATGATGAGATGATAGAGGAATTCAGAAGTGTGATGACTCAAGAGTTCAAAATGATGGATTTGGGCTTGATGAAGTACTTCCTTGATCTAGAGGTAAGACAGGAAAATGATGGAATTTGCGAGGCATTAAGCATAAGCGAAGGAAATTCTGAAGAGGAATAAAATGACGGATTGTAACTCGGTATTAACACCTATTGGAACCTATAGAAAAACTCTCTAAGTATGATGGTGGGGAACGAGTTACAATCCATAGGAACTACGATCATGGACAGATTTTGATTTTGAAAAGGCCAAAATCTTAGAAGTTCATTGGATACATCTTCGAGTTAGATTCATTTGGTAGATACATGTATTAGATTATTCTTGTATCGCCATAATGATAGTACATGTATTAGGTAGGTTTGTTATTTAGTATTTGGTACATGTATGCCATGGAGTATATTTCAAAAGGCCTATATAAGAACCACCTAGGTAGAGATTTCAAATCAACTTAAGAAGAGAATACATCTCTTCCTCCAAAAAAAAAAAAAATAAAAAGACAGATTTGAATGTTGAAAAAATTCTTCCCCTTTCCATAAATATTTTATGTTGCTCCAAAAGTTACAATATTTCTCAATTATCCCGAAGTTATATGTTTTTTGTGCTACTGTTTACCGTATGTATTTTGGTGGTGAAAAACCATTCTTATTTGATTTGAATTTTAAATTAGTCTAATCTGTTGAAACGTTACTATCATGGATGGGTTTCATAAGCTCACATGTCACTTTCACAGGGTACGTTTCCATTATGGTCATCCTGATGTATTTGACAGAATCTTCCACATAACTAGGGGTGGCATCAGTAAAGCTTCTAGAGTCATTAACCTAAGCGAGGATATATTTGCTGGTATTTCTTATTTCAATTGAAGATGATATTCCTAAAGATTCCACCAGTCAATTAATTGTGCTAATCTTAACAGGATATAATTCAACTCTTCGTGGGGGGTTTGTCACACACCATGAATACATCCAAGTAGGCAAGGGGCGAGATGTGGGCATGAATCAAATATCACTTTTTGAGGCAAAGGTTGCAAATGGGAATGGAGAGCAGACACTTAGTCGTGATGTTTATAGGCTTGGGCGTCGTTTTGACTTCTACCGAATGATGTCCTTCTACTTCACAACTGTTGGATTCTACTTCAGTAGTATGGTATTATTTCTATAAGCAATATCTGTTTGAGTAGTATTAACATATAATATATATATGGCTTTGCACTATCCTTGAATAACTGCTCAAAATGTTCCCCTTAAGATCAACACGTGGGCTCCTGGCTTCAAATAGGTCAAGTATTTACTCAGTACATGTTTGTGTGCTTGGATTTCTAACTAATGTCTCTTCTTAAGTAATAGATAGAAAGATGTTATTGCTTCTGCTAACTGTGTTTATATGTCAATGCTAACATCAAGAGAATGTGTACGTATTAATCTTTTTCCGGCAAAGATACAATATTTTTTTGCTCAAAAAAATTGTTGATGCGCATGTTTTTTTCTATAGGCAATATTTTTTTAGTTGGCTATTGCCAACTTGACTGAACTTAAATACTTGATAGGCTATATTAAGATATCCTGATAGGCTTGAACTCTGTGGATAGTTTTGGTGAGGGGCTGAATCTTTTTCGTAGTACGAGTTCTAAGACCTATTAAGTCCTTTAGTGGGAAGAAATCTTCTTCCAAATTCGAGAAGGTTTACAGTAAATGATTATTCTTTGACTTCCAATTCACATATGGTGCTTTCTATTGCCTGCGCATGTTCGTCATAATGCAAGGATCATTCTTAGCTTTTGAATTATACAACTCGCAGGTGACTGTGCTGACAGTATATTTATTTTTATATGGACGTTTATACATGGTTATGAGTGGAGTTGAAAGGGAGATTCTTGAAAACCCTTCCATACGTCAGACGAAGGCTCTTGAAGAGGCTTTGGCTACCCAGTCTGTATTTCAACTAGGCTTGTTGCTGGTACTACCAATGGTTATGGAAATTGGCCTTGAAAAAGGATTTCGCACTGCCCTTGGTGATTTTGTTATCATGCAGCTGCAACTAGCTTCTGTTTTTTTCACATTTCAGCTTGGAACTAAAGCCCACTTTTATGGTCGAACAATCTTGCATGGAGGTTCTAAATATCGAGCTACTGGTCGTGGGTTTGTTGTTTTTCATGCAAAATTTGCTGATAATTACAGGCAGTACTCACGAAGTCACTTTGTCAAAGGCTTGGAACTTTTTATTCTGCTGCTTATTTATCAAATCTATGGAAATTCATATCGCAGTTCAAAACTTTATCTATTCATCACTTTCTCCATGTGGTTTCTGGTTGCCTCCTGGTTGTTTGCTCCCTTTGTGTTCAATCCATCTGGATTTGACTGGCAAAAGACGGTTGATGACTGGACAGATTGGAAAAGGTGGATGGGAAATCGTGGTGGAATAGGGATCTCCCATGACAAAAGTTGGGAATCTTGGTGGGATGGAGAACAGGAACACTTGAAAAGTACAACACTAAGGGGAAGAGTGCTAGAGATAATACTTGCTTTACGATTCCTGTTATACCAATATGGAATTGTTTACCACCTTGATATATCTCATAGCATTAAGAGCTTCTGGGTACGGATTTTTTCTATTATCACTTAGATATTTTCTCTCATTATCCAAATGATATTTCTTTGGATCTGTTGCCAATATTTCACTGTTGTTTTTCGCTTCAATGTCTATCCAGGTTTATGGACTTTCTTGGGTTGTCATGTTAATTGCTCTTGTTGTCTTAAAGGTATTCCCCTACAAAAGGATCTCATATTATTTTCTTACCGCGAAGGCTGATTTGCTCTAACATGTTTACTATTTTAGGCTGGTTAATTTGCCCTCTTGTTTACTGATGTTTATGTTTCATGTGGCTACCAGTTGGTATCCATGGGCAGACGAAAATTCGGTACCGACTTCCAGCTCATGTTCAGAATACTAAAAGCTCTTCTCTTCCTCGGTTTCATGTCGGTCATGACAGTCTTGTTTGTAGTATGGGGCCTCACAGTATCAGATCTATTTGCAGCTCTCCTTGCGTTCTTGCCTACTGGATGGGCCATCCTTCTGGTAAGTTTTGCAATTATGCTCTCATATGACATTGTTTGTTTACCACAGCTTTCTTTAAATAAATTACATGCGAAAGACCTGGTATTGATTCATCTTTATCTGTTTCCAAAGATTGGGCAGTCATGCAGACCGATGATGAAAGGCATAGGATTCTGGGAATCAATAAAAGAGCTTGCAAGAGGGTATGAATACATCATGGGTCTCGTTATTTTCATGCCCATAGCCATCTTGTCCTGGTTCCCATTTGTATCAGAGTTCCAAACACGTTTGCTGTTCAATCAAGCATTCAGTAGAGGTCTGCAGATTTCAATGATTCTTTCTGGAAGAAAAGATACGTTATTACACGAAGGTGTTGAAAACTGTCCACAACCAAAAAATGTCGAAACAAATAACTTGAAGCAGAAAAACGTGAGGGGAGAAATCTTTTGAATAGAGGGACCTTAAGCACTTATGCTTTATTAATTCTCTTTTTTTTGTTGTGGAAATAACATACATCTTCGTGAGTATTTATAGTGGAGATTGCACCACCTATCTCCTAAACTTCCTCAAATTCCTAATCTCTGAGATCTGCAAGTGATGATTATGGTAAAACTTCACATGTTTACTATAGTTTGAGATTAACAAATTTTGACCTTCAGTGGTGTTTTCCCGACTCTTTTGCATATTCTTTGTCTACTCTCTAATCCATAGGAACTATATAAAATATTTGATGATATGCAACCCATTGAGTATGATATAGCTGCTCTCCCCATGGATCATACATACATATCCCATGGAGCAATAAGTCCTAAAATGACAAACTCGATTAACTGGTTTTAGAGGTGGAAAAAGGAAGAAAAAAGTAGTTGAAGGGAAACCGACAATCATTGGGCCAGAGTTAGTAGGGACTCGAGTGGCCCACCTGAGGGGTCATCCTTAAACAACACCCCATGCTTGTTGCTCACTGCACAGATCACCCGTTTCCCTCAGGTCACCGCCATTACTAATCTCATCCAAATTCTCTAACTTTATAACTTCTCTCTCTTGCTCTCAGAGGTTCATCTTCGTTGGCACGCTGATGTCTAGCTTTGGTACAATTTGTAATGCCTCAAGCCCAGCACTAATAGATATTGTCCGCTTTAGTCTACCATTGTCAGTCTTACAATTTTAAAATGCGTTTGCTAGGAAGAAGTTTCCACACTCTTATGATAAATGTTTTGTTCCCGATCTCCATAAAAAAAAAAAAACACAATGTTATGTTTTGATTAAAATATTTGACTGCTTAAAAATGGTATTGTCCGATGACACTTTAGAAGACTACACACGCTAATCTAATAGCCCACTTTCAATCAAAATTTTCTTCTTTTATGCCCCTAATCTTTTTCCTCCCAGCTACTAATCTAGCTTCCTCAATTAACTTTTCAAATCTAATTTACTGAAAAAAGAAAGAAAAAAAATTAAAAAAAAAGTCTATTTTGATTTTAATCAGCATAATATTACAATTTCCGAATTTCGTTTCAACTGAAAACTCTTTATTATCTTCTAAATGTTTCATTTAATTCCCATTGCTGTTCCTATTAAAAATATATATATATAAAAGCTTGACAACATTAAAATATTTGATTGTATTGCGTCAGTGGCTAAAAATTGTAGGTATAATATTAAGTAATTGAGCGCTCCCAGTCTTTATCATACGCATTTTCATCACTAATTTAATTCATCTCCCCAAAACACACGTGTAAAACAAAAATCTCCCCCAGATCAAATTCAATTAAATTTCTCAACATTATCTTTAATATATTTAAATCAAATTGTCAGTTAACTCAATTTCAAAGCCTCGTGAAATTTTTTAGTTAAAAGGTTTTAAAATATTAAATTAAGAATTACCACAAGAAAAAAAAATATATTTCTATTACATTCATAGGCTCATCTCAAGATTCGGATAATTTTTTCCTTTTTTTCTTACGATTCTCTTTTCTTTGGTATCCGCTACGGGCCGGCAATCGCTAATCCTAGAGCCTACCATTATTCTCCGTCGATCCTCTCTGCCAATTCGTCATTTTGTGTTGCCACGTTACTTGATTCACCCCTCTCTGCCCTTCATTCCCGATTTACCGTCTTACATTTTCCCCGCCGATCTGGTTTACTGGCCGTCACATCCAGATACTTGGGGTTGACTCTCTTTCTTTCTCTCTCTCTCTCTCTTAATTACTGAACTCTTTGCTGTTTATTCAATGCTTTTTTTTTTCTTACCCAGCTGTTATCTGCAGTGCCATAATCCTGTTCACTTTGTTCTTGCCGTTTTCCCCATCTCCGGCGACCTCCATTGCAACCCCAGCTTCTCTTTCAACCTTTTCCAAGCTCCTTCTCGCTTCTGCATACTCAAACCCACCATTCTCACCTACCCTTTTTCCCCCGACTTCTCATTCCCCCATTGTTGTTTGTAATTTGTAGATTCTCTCCTCTACTTCTCTCTCTCTCCCACATAAATTAGCTTTCGTTCTGCTATTTATCTTGCATTTTCCTCTACCATTCCTTCAATTGTTGCTGACCCTTTGAGGCTGCTACCCCCGAGAGAATCTGGAATTGGAGGGTCTGGTTTTTTCAGGTCGATATTGGACTATCTATGCTTATTGGGTCCCAGTTGGTTAAAATAGAAGCCCTTTCTCTGCTTCTGTGGGATCTTAAAGAGGAAGATCAAGGGGGTTAGGCTAGATCTGTTGAAAGGTGGATGAATGCTTTCTACTTTGAACCACTTTCCTTTGTTTTCTTTAATTTGTTCACATTTCTTTTTTATGTCTTTTACTTGAATCATAAGTGATGCCTTCTACAAACTCATACCTTTTGTTTGATAGATTTAGAACTTTTGATTTCGCTATTGGTGGTTCATTACTCTGGGTTTTCTTCTACAATGGGATATTGAATTTATTTTGCTTTCTTCGTCATCATGACTTGTACATACGAGTATCAGTCGGGGTTTGTTGTGGAAAGAATAGAATCCAGTTGAATGCTCAATGCTGATGTAAAGTATCTTCCTTAACCGTATTAGTTTCCCTTTTTGTGTTCTATCTCTGGATTTATGCAATATTTTAAGAACTTGTGAAGGAGATTGCAGTTTTTGGAGGATATTTCTTATTATGAACTTTGTGTTCTAAATGGCTGTCTAATTGTGAAGAAACTTCAGTAACTTGTGTTATTGATACTAAGCTCTCTCAGGAATCTCGTACCTATAATTTGAGACTGCATGATGTTTTGCATCTAATTCTCAGGTCTAAATGTCTTGATTTATCTGCGACTGGAACTTAGGGGTCCGAGCCAGTTCGAAATTTTGGCATCTTGAGGATCAACCATCAGCTATGTCATCTGGAACTACTTTGAATACAGAATTGTCAAAGAAAACGTCCTTCCTTGGTTTGTCCCTATGGGTTTTGATCTGCTTATGTGTTGGTGCATTTATTGTTTTGATTCTTGGTATCTTATCTGTATGGGTGATGTTTCAAAGAAAAACAAGGAGATCCCCAGAAAACTTCTCTTCTTCTCAAATACCAAATGTCTCGAAGGATATTAAGGTGGATAGAATCGCGACTCAATCTGCCCACGGCAATCATCTTGAGAACCTTTATCATTCTAATCATGATAAATCAAATGAGAAGAACTCAGAGAAGATGATTGGTCATTTGAGCATGAGCAAGTCGAGTGATCCTGATAACATAAGCCAATGCAGCTCCAATTACTATCATGAAAGGGTTTTTAGCTCACATTCAGGAGAAGAAGGAAGCTCTGGGACTGTTAGAAAGCAGTCTTCCATGTCGTATGGAGGATATGGAGGACTTGTGACTGCCTCTCCTCTCGTTGGCTTACCTGAAATTTCACATCTTGGTTGGGGTCATTGGTTTACCCTCAGGGACCTAGAATTTGCGACACATCGTTTCTCTCCAGACAATGTTCTTGGTGAAGGGGGTTATGGGGTTGTCTATAAAGGCAGACTGATAAATGGAACTGAGGTTGCAGTAAAGAAACTTCTCAATAATCTGTAAGGAATTTAGGAGTTTGAAACATATATAAAACTATTAGCAACGGTAATTGTTCTCTTAAAGTTCAATTTGCTTCTTCATAGGGGACAAGCAGAGAAAGAATTTAGAGTTGAGGTGGAGGCCATTGGTCATGTAAGACACAAGAACCTCGTACGACTCCTCGGCTATTGCATTGAAGGAGTTCATAGGTACTACTTACACTGTCAGTATGTCTTTAGTTGACTATTTTGAGTCGATTCTTAAAGAAAATGGCGTCTCTCTTTTTACTCGCACAGGATGCTGGTCTATGAATATGTGAACAATGGCAACTTAGAACAATGGTTACATGGCGCTATGCGGCAACATGGCACCCTTACATGGGATGCCCGGATGAAGGTGCTTCTTGGCACTGCTAAGGCGTAAGTAACATCAGTTTACACATTTTTATGAACTCGGCACTCTGATTATATACGGTTTCTGATGACCTGACATTATTTGCTTCAGTTCTCTTTAGTCTCAGTTCGTTCGTCCAGTGGTTTTAATTTTTGGGTAGAACATTACTTCTAAATGACTGCAAACTTTCAAACTTGAGAATGTTACCAAACTTCTTTTCCCTGAATACAGGCTAGCATATTTACATGAGGCAATTGAACCGAAGGTTGTCCACAGAGACATAAAATCTAGCAACATCTTAATTGATGATGAATTTAATGCAAAGGTTTCAGATTTTGGATTGGCCAAACTTTTGGATGCAGGAGAAAGTCACATCACGACTCGAGTGATGGGCACATTTGGGTATATGCTTATTTTTCATTCTATTCTATAACCTATTGTGATAAAGAATCTTCACATAGAAGCTAATCGTGTTTTTCGTTTGTCCTAGGTACGTGGCGCCAGAATATGCCAACACTGGCTTGTTGAATGAGAAGAGTGACATTTATAGCTTTGGCGTTCTCCTTCTGGAAGCAATTACAGGAAGGGACCCTGTTGATTATGGCCGTCCTGCTAATGAGGTACTTCTGACTCTTAATAATATTGGTGGTTAGTTTCATTATCGGGCGTCCTTCAGGACTCACTCTTCCATGAACGTATGCTGCACATAATTTCCGTATCTCAATTGACATTAGCTTATGTACTTCCCTGCCAGTAATAGTGTACTTTATTCTTCAGGTTAACCTTGTTGAGTGGTTAAAAGTGATGGTAGGCACGAGGAGAGCTGAGGAAGTTATAGATCCAAGTCTTGAAACTAAACCTTCTACACGCGCATTGAAACGTGCCCTTCTGATTGCGCTTAGGTGTGTGGATCCTGAGGCAGATAAGAGACCAAAAATGACTCAGGTTGTTAGAATGCTTGAAGCTGATGACTACCCATCACGTGAGGTACGTGTCGATGAAATATGCAAACCAAGATAATAAATCATACTGCTGTTTCCTGCCTCCTAAACGACCTTCTTTCTCGCAATCCTACTGTTCTGTTCAAGCAATTTCTTGTTTATATTAGTTCACACACAATTGTAGTAAAGGGGTAATGGGCAATTGCTCTACAATAGCCAAGGATCTCATTTCCACCACGCAACAGTGTTAATGTTCTGAATTTTCCTTTTCATTGAGATAAAGTTTCTTATTGCACAAACATACCCTTCTTAGC